GACTAAGACATTGTTTAGACCTATTGAAAATTGCATTCAGAGAAAGGGCTTAAAATTGATCATGGAACAAGGAGAGTTTGATCTATCTCTCACTATGCCATTTTCCCCTCGAGGCTTCATACAAAACACATAAAATACAACAAATAAGACTAAATATGACAAATGCTTTAAAATTCCTTTTCTTTGTTTAATGTAGATCAAATAAGTAAAAATGCAGGAAGGACCAGATCTCATGTAGGGGAGAAACATCACCACCAAATGTTTTTTGCCAGAAGCCCACCAGTTTAATGCTCTACAAATGAACATATATTCCAGAAACATTATCTCAGAATGTTATATATTCCAGAACATTCCAGAAATATAATGAAAATCTCTCATTACTGTTTAAAGAAATCCCATTCTGGATTTTAACTATGCATAAAAAATAACAAAAGTTTACAAAGCATGAGGATGACAAGTTTATGTGACTCTGATAATCATATCTTTTAGTGATAATAATTAAGATTCTCTAGTCCTCTTCAACTTTCACTTAAATCTGCACAAGTAGCAAGGTTCCAGAAGATTTCAGAAAGACTCATGATGAGACAATTGAAATTTGAAGACAAACACCTATGCATTCACAAACTCTTCTCCCAAGACAACCTCCTCTGCTTGTCAGTAAATATAATGAAAGAACTCTGAGAATTTTGGAGTTTGAAAGGGGTCACTGAGGAACAGACAGGTAGACTGTGGCTTGCCAGGTCTGTAGTTCTTTGGTTTGTAGAGTTAGGATTAGAACTCAGATTTTTTGATGCATGGGCCCATAGCTCTTCTACACTATCACTCACAAGCCTCAAAAAGAGGTATCATTGGGAGGTACCATCTCAACCAATAGTTGGTTGTGGTAGCACACACCTGTCATTCTAGCTATGATGGGAAGCATAAAAAAGGAGGATCCAGTCTCAGGCCAGGTAGAAAGTGAGACATGATTTCTGAAATAGCCAGACCAAAAGGGCTATAGCATGGCTCAAACACCTGCCTAGCAAGGGTAAAGACCTGAGTTCAACCCCCAGTACTGCCAAAAAAAAAAAAAAAACTCTGCGCATGTACAGAGACTTAAATTGTATGTCTATGCCCCATTGTTTATGATAGTTGAAAAATTGGAAACAATTTAAAGTTTCTTTGGAAGAACAAAGGATTAAATGGGGCTTATTCATGTTATCCAATACCATATAACAGTTAAAGAAAATAAATTCCTGCTCTATGCATTAATATGCATTGATTTTGTTGCATGAACAAAAAATCCTACAACATAATAGTATGATACCATAAACAAGAAATGGCAAGACAGCCACATGAAACATTCTTATGTGCAAATATGAATTCTGTTCCACAAATTCTTACTCTCCTCAGTTCAAACAAGCTACAGATAATATGAATAGAAATTCTGTTTATTATACAAGTGAAAAGTTTAAGGCGTTTCAAAATCACTTGCATTTGCATGTAATTTCCTCCCAATCTTGAGCGGTTGGTGTCAATTTCCTCATGCAGGGCCTATTAATAAAAGTTATATTTACTTCCTCGCTGAGATAATTAATTACTTTCATTTGGGAGAGAGAACACTCAGGACATCTTGAGTATATTTTTTTCTTCTGAATTAGAGGATCCTTCATTAATAAGTTACATAAAAAGGAAATCTGCTTTAGTATATTTTCTTAATTCAATTAGATAATTACAATGCACTTTGCTTCTTTGTATTGTGGATATACTACTTAGAATCACTAAATGTTGGAGGATGCTTTAGTAGCTGCTATTATAGACTCTTATTTTATAGATGGCCCCAAGAAGAAAAATTACTTCCCTAATGACACATAGCTAGTAATAGGCAAATGTAGGATTAAGACCCAGCCTGCTGACTAAGAGCTTTCTAGACTACATACCACATTACTGCTCATGCGTCACAGCCTGCATCCTCAGGTTGCCCAATCCCAGTAGACAAATTAATCAGCCCAATGATGAAAACAAAATAAAACAATTGCTTAAATCCCTCAATACAAGTTTGTTGCTATCATAACTTCAGATAAGTTGCTGAGTACGTTTTTACTTTTTGATTGGCTCTGTAGAGATTGATCTATGTGTCTCCAACATAACTCTGGGTCTTTGCCAGATGAATAGGTGTATGAGACTACTATGCATTTCAGTTGGGAGAGGAGTGCATGTATCTGAAGTCTTAAAATTGTAATGATACCTTGGGAAAGCTTCTTGCTGACCTTATGTTTCTACATCTCCATCTGGAAAATAACATCCATTACATAATATGGGAGCATTAGCACTCTTGACCCAGTGGGCTGTTTAAACATTGTCCTATCAGAGATGTACAAGGCATGGTTTTAGAGAGGCTGCTATTCAACAGGAAAATCTTCCACAGCTTGGAATAAATCCCCTTTTGGGACTTTACTGAGAGGGCCCATTACTTAGCGAATGCTTTTATCTGTGAAATCTTTCTCTCTTGGGGAGTCATGTTGACTACTTTAACTTTCTGGTCAAACTATTTCATTGCCACAAGTATTATAACAGTTTAAAATTAGAATTTTCATCATTTTCCTTCAATAGAATGTGTTTTCCCAAGCCCTTGATTTTGGAATTGTGCCAACTATTTCTGGACATATCATTACTAATAAGATAATAAAAAAAATAGTGGTTGTCTTTGGTTCTGGCATGTTATCCTTATGCACACACTGCTTTTTCCTTTCAAAATACTGCCCACAGATATCTTAAAATTAGAAAAAATAATTTTTAAAGCTGTAAGACAAAAAATATTTTGGCAGAACCAGTTTGATCTCAGGTCTTATGTAATTGCCATTATTATTATTATTATTATTACAACTATGAACCAACCATATACTTGGCCCAACTGACATGTTTTTATTCTCCTAATGCAATAAAAAAAAAGCAACATTCTAGGAAATTACTTCTGTTCTATAATGTAATTCCAGATTCTATTTAGCTTATTTGGTGTTTTTTTTTTATTTGCTTCCCCCATGGGCAAAAAATATGCCGTTTTTCTTATTCTGGCTTAAAAACATTAAGTCATAACTTCTGATCTTGCCAGTTAGTAAGTCTAAACAATTTTGGCTGTAGTCAGGTTGTGGGGCAACTCAAAAGAACATATAGGTGTGACAGGAAGAGAAGTTAAGTTAGAGACTCCAGTTGTTCAGCTCTTGCCTTCAGAGTATTCTTTGGATTGTGTTAGAGTCTGTTACTGCGTTTCCGTGAATGGCTGCTGCCAGCTTCTACCCTAGAGATGGCTATATTTCAGAGATGAGTGAAATGATACTTGTAAACAAGTTTATAATCATTAATAAAGCTTACCAAACAATTTAAGCTCTTTAGCAACACACATCCACTCTTATAATTAATTGCCTATTGTTTATTTAATTACAACATTTAATAGAGACATGAAGTCTTTAAAAATGCAATTTATAAAACTTTTAAACTTTATTAAATTGGATTTCATGATGCTTATTTTATTTTTTCAAGTTTCAGGTGTCAAATTATTTCTCCCTAGAGATCCTGATGAAATTCCACCACTGACTGTTTCATTGTACTCTTTAAAAATCCCTAAGAATATTTTTCTTTCAAGTTGACAACTGCCCACTCTGGGATCCAGATGCTGTATGTGCAGTGCAATGTTTTTTGCTCTGCTTTCCACACATGGCCTTTTCCTATGCTGTCTCCCAGGGATGAAAAATTCTGCCTTAACAGGAGAGTTTTAAACGTGGCCTGAAAATCATAAATACAATACTGAATAGTTTCTGGCCATCTTAAGTTGAAAAACAGTGCACTCACAGCTATCATATTGTTTTACTTTAAAAATTAAGCAGGTAGAGGGAGAAAAGGCATTAACGATTCAGTAAGTTAGCTAGCTTGCCTACTGAATGCTTAGCTCAATGAAAGCTCAACCTGATATACAAAATAGTTCAAAGAACTTAGAACTTCCCTGGGAAGACAAGACATGGATGCAAATAAAGGCAACAGAAACAGTAAAAGAAATAGAGGGGGAAAGGGAGACTGTGCTGAGAAGTCCTTGTGTCATCTCCTGATAGTCTTCCAACCCTTTCTGAGAGCACAGGGGTGTTCTGAGGTGGACCCCATGGTCGTGGCAGCGTTGGAGACACAATGGAGACCTGTTTTACCCTTGTAAAATCGGAGGCCTAGGAAGGGGAAATGACTTGACTAAGGTCACACAGACTGATGGCAGCAGAGGTGATCAAAACAAGGTCTTGTGACGCCAGGCCAGCTACTCCTGTGGTCTTTACTAACTCCTGTGTTAGTGTTGGCCTTTTTATCAGCTTCCTCCTCCCTTCTTCTGTGTGAAGGATGCCATTTGTTGTCAGATGATAGGCTCATGTCTTTTCCAAAAGGATGGGTAAGGGCTGGAAAAGAAACCGTGTTTCTGTTACTAAAGAGGGCCGATGTGTTGCATCCCCATTTGTGGATGTGCCCAAGCACCAGGCATCCAAGGCCCAGCAAGGACAGATGCCCTTCCCTTGGCCACTGAAATTGGGGTCTCCCTCCTTCAGGCGGTCTGCCGGGCCTTGCGACCTCCTCAGGTGCAGTCTCCAGCCCTCCCCAGGGCTCGCATGTTCCCAGGCCTCAGTAGCAGCCCTAGAAACCCGTAGAAGCTCCTGGCTTAGGTATCCAGCGCTGCGCGCCCCCGTCGTCACGGCAACCAGGGAGGCGCTGACCCCTGACCCCGCCCGGCCCCGCCCCTCGCGCTGCCGAGATCAACATGGAGAAGGCCAACCCGGAAGTGCCGCGGCCGCCGCTCGCCCGGTACTAGGAGCCCCGTCCCGGCCAGGCCGAGCCCCGCGCCCGCTGCTCTGCGACTCAAGGCCTGCCCCGTGTCCCGCCGGCGCCCGTGCGGCGCGTCCCCCGCCCCGGGCCACTCCACCCGCGGGTGACCCGGCCCCGCCCGGGGGGAGGGGGAGGGAGGAGCCGAATTGAGGTGGGGGGAGGCGGGAAGCTTGGAGAGAGCGAGCAGGGCCGCGCGAGCCGCCGGCGGTTCGTATTAGCGGGGTCGGAGGAGGAGCCGGGTCAGGCCCGCGGGTGGAGCGGCGCGGAGGCCGGGGGACAGCGTCGGGCGGGGCGTCCTCCCACCTCCGCAGCCGTCGGCCCGGCCCGGCGGGCGGCCAGGCCTCACCTGCCATCCCCTAGGCCGCGGAGGGAACCGCCCGCCCGCCCGCCAGCCATCGAGGCCGATCTCCCCCCCCCCCCCGCCCCGCCCGGGGCCGGCGGGCGCCGGGACGGTGGAGACGCGGGTCCGCGCGGACGCTGGACGGCGCGGCCAGGTGATGTGGGCCCCGGTGCTGGTGCAGAGGAAGGGGACCCCCAGAGCAGCCGCGCCCCCGGGCTGTCCGCCGGAGGCCTTTTGACCTCCGCCCCCGGGACGTTGGGCGGCCGAGGGTGCCTGGCTCCGCGCACGATGCTGTGATTAGGGACCCCGGTTGTCCCTGCGGGCGGGGCACTGCCTGCGCTCCTGAACGCGGTGAGGAGCCGAGGGCCAGGATGATGCTGTCCGAGCAAGCCCAAAAGTGGTTTCCAACCCACGTGCAGGTCACAGTGCTCCAAGCCAAAGATCTGAAGCCGAAAGGCAAAAGTGGCACCAATGACACATACACTATAATTCAGCTGGGCAAGGAGAAATACTCCACGTCTGTAGCCGAGAAAACCCTTGAGCCGGTCTGGAAGGAAGAGGCCTCCTTTGAGCTGCCTGGCTTGCTCATGCAGGGGAACCCAGAAAAGTACATTCTCTTCCTGATAGTTATGCACAGGTCCCTGGTGGGGCTGGATAAATTTTTAGGGCAGGTGGCAATCAATCTCAATGACATCTTTGAGGACAAACAAAGAAGGAAAACAGAGTAAGTTATGCAATTCATTTTGAATTTGGGGGAGCTTAACTATGGTATTTATGGATTTGCTGTTTTTGGAAGTTGTATTCTTGGGGTATTGGTTTTTGGCCTGAAATATGACCCAGTGGTAAGCACCCTTATTTGCATGACTCGGAAGTAAAAAAAGCCCTTGGGATGAGACATTTTTCTCAGTGGACTGATAACAATCTATTATTTGCGCGTTTTTGTCTATTAAATAATAGAATATTTTGCACTGGGTTTTAAGACAACCTTTCACTTTTTATAAGAAGCCTGGATCTCAGTGTTAACCAACTAAAACTACTATAAGCAGAAGTTATGATCTTTAAACATTGTAGTTTTCCCTGAGATGGGAAATCAGAATTAAATCTGCCAATGTAATGTTTATATGTATGTTGAACTCTGTGGCTGTCAAAAAATAAATCACCAAGTTTAAACTTGATGTTTCATTTCAGCATAATAAACCCAGTTGGCCTTTATTTTAGCTCAACCATTATTCAGGGTCAGTACATCTTGATTCAGTAGAGAGTTGTTAAAAGAAAAAAACAAAGTTTTGAGAGTACCCACAAACAACCTCAGTCTTGAACCCACTAAGGTTGTCTTTTGAATTTGCAGGATAGTGGAGCTGTTGTTTCCTTCAGAATGAGTTCAGCAAAGCTAGTGTGTTTAGGCCATAGTAACTGCTGCAGGATTGGAGACTGATGAAAGTCTTGTGATGAAGCGATTTAATGACTTCGTCAATGAAAACATGGCCCTTTTAGTATGACTTTCAAGCTTGAGTTGGGTGTATTTTAATTAAAACGATCATAATACAAATGAACACTAGGATGTTATGTCTTAATTGAAAAAATTGTGTGTTTTTAGAGCTAGATTTACTCAGCCCAGCCTTCAACTTCAGTTTTTCCAGTCTGAGAGAATGTTAAGATCTTTGAAATTTATGGGAGAAAAATGGGTCGAACTTGTAAGAGGACTTCAAATTCCAAAATAACTGTGATGTTTTCTTTCAGTCATAACTGAATTTAATTTACCTTTTAAAACGTTTTTACAAGGATAATTTTCCTTAAGCTTATTTTTTTTATGTTTTAAAATAATTCTTGCTTTTTTCTGTGCATTTTTGCCAGCAGACTTGTCTTGATTGACTTTTTTTGTTCATTTTGTTTTGAGTCAGATCTTTACCTAACATTTAATATATGTAGGGTAAAAGGGTTGAGAGATAAGAAATACTGGGAGTATGAGAGGAAGAATGGTAAATATTTAAAATAATTGAGGAAGAAAATATTTTAAAAGGGAAGAAAATTTTTTTTAAAAAAAGTGTAAAATTGCATACTTAGCAATGATTTTAGTAATGGAGCTGTTTGATCCTTAAAATGTGGCATTCAGTTTTCTCTGAAGGGTTCTTCATCAAATTTAAAAGGAAAAAAATGAATATTTACCAAACAATTCATTTCAAACTGTCAGTTTTGGGCAACTTAGTATATACTGTGTAGAGTATTTTGAGTGTAAACTTTTAAGTATTTTGTAGCTTCAGATTTTTTCCTGTGCTTTAATAATACTTTTAATATTAATGAATAATATATCACAGGCCTCCTTAAACCCAAAGACTCAGAGGACAAAATAACCTTTTAAAGTTTCTTCTTGTTTTATTCCTGTCTTTGGCAGCATCACAATTATAGTAAATTTGGCAATGAGCAATGCTCTAATATTGTAGTGTCTATATAAAATTGATTAGAACTTTTGGGGGGAGAAATGCTTTGAAACGTTATCAGCAGGGCTTGTGATGTTACGGAATTCAGAGTGGTTTTCATATGCCGTTAAACCCTTCACATTTTCTTTGTGGACAAACAGGCACCACATATTTGATGAGGTATCTTTATTGGTAATATTTCTAGATTTTTAATATATTTAATAGCTTCCTTTTCCAGCACAGCTGTGCATGTGGCACAGTAAGAGACAGACTCACCACCAGTGTATTGCAACAAAGATATTTAATATTCTGCACATTGCTAAACCTCGTCAGCATATTTATTCCCAAGTGCTTTTTAGAGGGGGCATGAGTGATGAAGGCTACCAGCTGATCTAGAAGTCCCATGAAACTGCTGGGTGTGACACTTTTTACTTTTTGACACTGAAGACGACAAGTATTTATATCTTGTCATCCAGTTGTGTCATGAAAGGCAAAGAAGTGTGATTGTTGAAACTACTATTTTATTTATTGTTATACATTGAAAAAATACATTTTTTTCTTCTAAGGAAATGGGAAAAAAGGGCCTGAGCTGGAATCCTTTGAGTGGAAAGAACTTCTGTGTCTCGCCCTGTAATGGATGTCTGGGTTGGTTCTGGCAGGAGATTTAAGGAAATAATACAATGTTTAATAATACAATGGTAAAATCATTTATGCTATTATGTAATAGCCATTGATTTTTTTTACAACAGAAGTACGTGATGTTGATTTTTTTTTTTCAATGCTTAATGAAAAGTAGTAACAATCAGAGTCCCTGGAGTTAGGTATGACTCACACATGTAGATTTTAGGACTTTTGTGTGGGTCTCTGTGGTGCACCTGCCTCCTGGCCTCTGGCACTCTTTCTGCCAGTCTTGTCCCATTTCTGACCACACAGCACCAATTGCTTGGGAATTGTTCCCACATGTGTGGTGGTTTTTGAACATGGACCTGTGCCCACTAAAAATTGAACAGAGGCCATATACAGTTTAAATCAGCACTCCAGAGGTGAAAAAGAATCAGCATTAATCCAGTAAGCCCCGAATGCTGTGTCTTCCTTTTATCTTTTTGAAGCCTGGGAAAACAGATGCTGTCTCAGGAATGATTCTTGAAGGTCTCATTAAGACTTCCCACTTATATCAGTTTCAAAACAAAGCAGTTAATGTTACTTGTCATGCCTACTTTCGAAACTAGTGTATTTGTTAGCATTCTTTGTAGTTGTTTTTGTTTTTGGTTGGGGATAGAAAAATACACTATATTTACAGTTTGCACTCAAACTCAAGGGTTGCTTTACTTTGGTCTTTTGAGTTCCTGAGTACAAAAGAAAACAGTACATGACATACATGCACCAAGTTGTAGCTTGGTTTTTAAAAGAATACTGTTCTAGAAATAAAAATGGAGTGAACATTTATTTAGCGCAAGGCAAACTGCCTTCAAGGAGCTTAAACTCTAGCATTACAAAATCTGTGTCATCTTCCTTTTTGCATCTCGTGTCTCCTGAATAAATCCAGTATCCTGTAATGTGTGCAGGCACGTGGTTAACCTTATTAACAGACGTGGTTCATCAAATATGGCAGAGCTTCTGTTTTTCTGCAGATGTTATTCTTTAGGTTTAGATTTTTCCTTACTTTAATTTGACATTGGAAGTTACATTGGGAAACCATGCCTCAGTTTCTTCATCTGTGAAATAATGATGTTAAAATAGATGATTTTATTTGATCTTATTTCATAAATTCTGTGAATTTTGACTCTCTTCACCCCTTCCATTTTTGGAGTTATTGGTATATTCTCAGATTTGCTGCAATTTGTTATATATAGGGAATCCTAGATGCTTGTTTTGTTTGTTTAGGGCATACTTCTTGCAAAGTGTATTCACCTATTTTCTGTATAATGTCACATTGTATTTCTCCTGCCATTGAAAATGGGAGGATTTGTTTCCCAAATCTGTGAGGTAATTACTAGACATATAACTTTGTTTTATTTCCAGACATTTGGAGAGCTCAATTTTATATTGGTCAAGGTTCTCTATTCCACAGTTTATTGCTGTCATTTTTTATTTCTAGCCCCAGTTCAGATTTCACTGCCTACCTTATATAAGGGATTTTCTCAGTTTAGGGTCTCAGAGTAACATTCCCTGTTATAAAATATTCTATTCTAAGAAATGGCTTGTTTTGGTACCTGCATATGTTGATTGAATTGTTCCAATTTAATCAAGAAAACATTCCTTTTGCATGCTACTTGTTTGGATCTGGGATCTGTATTATGTGCCAGTTCTCTATCCTTCCTAGAAAAGCCTGTGAGCCAGTCTTCCACTTGATATATAGTAAATGCAATCTTCTCTTGTCGTATCCAGTTGGTAACAATGAAAGAAAGAACTAATGTAAAATTAAATCAGTGTTCCTTTGTAGCTAAGAAAATTTGTTATACTCTGTTAGAGCTATATTTAAATAATACCATGTCTGCAAGAGTGGATCTCCTGCTTCATTGCTAAGTAATATGAAAACACTAAGGAAGCTCTTCTAGACTTGATTTTGCTGTTTCTTTTGGCTGTTTGCCCTGTCAGATGACCACTTGTGACACCAACAATTGGAGAATTTCCCATAGATAAAAATACTGTAAACAGAACCAAAATAACTTTGCTTCTCGTATCATTTAAAAATGGGCTCTGTGATACACTGAAGTTTGGTACATCGGTAGTCCTTTTTGTTTGGTAGCATTGCAGTAGCAGTAGTAAGTGAGGCAAATAGATTCTGACAGAAGTATTTGAGCCTTTTTTTCCTCTTTGAAAACTTCGCAAGATTTGTTGTCCCTTCTTGTGATTTACTCATTTGGCATATATTATTCAGGAAAAGACTCTTCCATTTTATATGAATCTAAATTATATCATTTGCAGTTTTAATTAGCAAACTGTATGTAGTAGTCTCTAATGTTAACATATCTTTTAAATAGTATTTTGGAATGGGACTAAGTATTATTTTATTAAAATTAATCATTTGTCATTTTATAGACTCAGAAATAATTTGAATTGATGAATTCTTTCAATCTTTGCCTCACTGTCTTTTAATGCTACAAGTGCCCTTAGGTCATGAGTCCTATGAGGGAGAGATTATCTAAAAACCTTTTCATGCTGGACAAATTCCAGTGTATTTAATAGAAACTGATCAGTTTTTAAGTTAAACAGTGACTTAAGCATGTCTGGTTAGGTTCTCATTTGGTGCTGGATTGCCTCTGTGTGTGGCAGCTTCACCTAAAAAGCTACTGGTATATAACAAAGCTTGATGTTTTCTCTTCATGTTACAACAGATTTTTTTCTTCTCTTTAAGGTGGTTTAGGTTAGAATCCAAACAAGGAAAAAGAGTCAAAAACAGGGGTGAGATAAAGGTCAATATTCAATTTATGAGGAACAATATGACAGCGAGTATGTTTGACTTATCAATGAAGGACAAAACAAGATCTCCTTTTGCAAAATTAAAAGATAAGATGAAAGGTAGAAAAAATGACGGGACATTTTCTGATACTTCTTCTGCGATCATTTCAAGTACTCCCATGCCTGATGCCAATATTGAATTTTCAAGTGGAACCCAGATGAAACCCAAACCAAAAAAGCCTTTTCTCTTGGGTCCTCAGCGGCTCTCTTCCGCGCACTCAATGTCTGATTTAACTGGGTCCCACATTTCTTCTGAGAAACTGAAGTCTGGTGCCATAGGTCAAACATATCTTCTCAGTCGCCAGGTAGATTCCTTTGGAGCAGTGCCAGAAAGTGGTAAGTGTCACCTCCTTTCTTGTTGTACCCTCAGTTGCTTCAACAGCCCTTTTGTTCTTATAGTCTAAGTTCTAAAGTTAGACAATAAAAATTGTGGTTTCTTGGTAGTATTTTCTACAGGTAGTCACTTACCAAACATTGATTAAGTGCCTCCTATACTCCAAATTGATGGGTTTATTGAAGGCAATACTTGTCTGCATTTGGATTTTTATTATTAGACGATCATAAAACGAGTCCCAGTCTCCTTTCATGGTCTTGCCTCCCCGCCTCCTTTTTTTTTTTACTGCTGTTTCTCCTGTCTCAAAAGGCTGAAGTCTAAATGGACATCCCATTTTATCCTAAACTCCCGTCCAAAAACTTTTATATTTAGAAGGAAGAAAGGAAATTTAATGCTAATGATGAAAAAAAAGTCTTTTGAGAATTTCCAGCATTATCATGCCAGTAGATCCTCTAGTTTTGACATTGTAGTTTTTTATGTGGTGGTTTGTAAGCTGAGTAATTACTAATTGTCGAATGGTACACTAATTGTTAGTAGCATAGATACTTCAGACTGCTATACCTTACCATTTTAAGGTTGTTTTCCTTGATTATTTTTAAGGTTAAAACCTTTAAATTGCTATCATTCTAAAAGCAGCAGAATGCACACAGAATGTGTCAAAACAGTGTGCTGTGATGTGTCACTGATTACGTACTAACCACAAAATTGTTTGTAGGAAGTCTCAAGTCTCCACATAGAAGAACACTGAGTTTTGATACTTCTAAAATGAACCAGCCTGACAGCGTTGTGGATGAAGGTGAATCCTCTTTTGGAAGACAGAATGACCCATTTACAAATGTGACTGCTTCTTTACCCCAAAAATTTGCAACACTGCCAAGGAAGAAAAATCCATTTGAAGAAAGCGGTGAATCATGGGATGGCAGCATGAGTTTATTTTCAAAATCAGTTGAAGTAAGAAAAGAAAATAAAAGAGAGAAAAGAGAGAAAGTGAGCCTGTTTGAAAGAGTGACTGGGAAAAAAGATAGCAGAAGAGTTGACAAGCTTAACAACGGGGGATCCGATAGTCCTTGTGATTTGAAATCACCCAATGCGTTTAGTGAAAATCGGCAGGACTATTTTGATTATGAGTCAACTAATCCGTTTACAGCAAAATTCAGGGCTTCAAATACAATGCCATCTTCAAGGTAAGCTTAATATAGGAGAAGTTGTGCCATTTGGGAAAAGCTGGTGCTTGAAAAAAGCATAAGCTATTCCTGCTAAGTGCAGGAATATGTTAAAGTCCTTTTACCTGAGAAAAGTTATTATTTTTAAATAATTAATTATAGAGCCAAATAGTGTTGCATACATGCTTGGAATTGAACTGATCTTGGAAGGATAAAAGATTCCTATTCTCTACCCTGCTTTATTCCCATTTATGTAAGCCATATGGGAGGAAATAGCATAGCTTTTGATGAGATCTGGTAAGAGTGAATAACCCATGGTGTTATTCAGGTCAGAAATATGTTTCTAGATACTTTCCAGGGATCAATTCATAGGCTATCTGGAGAGGTTGAGTAGACTAATAGCAGCCCATGGACTATTCTTTAACACATACTCCCTTAAGCAGTAATGATTTCATAATAGATGTTAACTATTCTCATTAAATGGCTGATGAGAAAGATTTTTGATTTGTGAATGTTTACTGGAATTCACTCACCCTGTAAATTAATCAAAGGGATCTATATGACAATTTGTAGTTTTCAGAATAAACACTATGATAAAGGTTAGATTTCCAAACCCATCTTCATTTATACTGGCACTTACCTTCTTAGTAGAAGTTGGACCTGAGTACATTGGAATATAGTTTACAGTTGTGGAGCTTGTAGAAGTCAGTGGTGGAAGATCCAGTTAAGTCTCAAGCAAAGACTAAGGTGAATGCTATGAAATCCTAGGTAATTATCATGGAGGAGCATGGTAGAATGTTTGCCATGGAATGGGAGCTTTTCCTTTAGTCAGTAATATAAAATGAATAGACCTGAATGGGAATCCTAGCTTAGTAGTGCTATGACCTCTGTAAACCGCAGAATCTTCATCTTTGAAACAAAGCTGTAGGATTAGGTAAGGATAAATAGTACGTGAAATTCATAGCACAAAACCAGGTCCCCAATACAGAACCCATAAATGGTGACTGCTTATAGGTCGAATATCCCTAATCCAAAAATCTAAAATCTGAAGTGCTTTTCCTTAAGAAATACTTAAGTATTGATATTTTAATGATAGAACTCTTTGAGTTTTGGATTTTGGAGTCTTGAAAGACTTTGAATTTTTGAGCTAGGAATACTCAGAATGTAAGGTTTATGCAAATATCCCAAAGTCTAGAAAACTCTGAAACCTGAAACACCTTGAATCTTAAGCATTTTGAGTAAGGGATACTCAGCCTGTATTATGTTTTATTTGTTTTCATGCCATTTTATTAAAAAACAGTGCTTTGTTTTGTCCCACTATAAAGAGAAAAAGTTGTGTTAGCAGTCACCTTTTTAGGCTTTGGTCTTTCATGTCTCTCTTGTATGTCTTCTTTGACATATTAAAAAAAAAACCCTGCATTTAAAATTTTTGGAGGGAAGTGCACATTTCTCTTGTTTTCTTTTACCAATAAATGAGTATTTGCTATGATTTTAGAAACGTTCCATTTTTATAACTGTACTCTAGAGAAACAAATTTTTATCATATGGTATCTATTTTATTGAAGAATTTATAGTTTTGATGTGCTATTCTAAAATATATTGGTATTTCACATAGTGTACTTCACATATTTCATTAGATCTTAAATTACAGGGGTAAATAGAAACATATTTGCTGTTTCCCCCTTTGCTGAACTTTTTTTGCAGAAGATTGTTGGAAACAACTCGGAGATAACTTAGAGATTGAGTAATTTAGGTAATTTTAGAGTCAAGGAAGAGCAACACAATGGGAAATAGTTGGAAAATAATGTTTTAAAAGTATGTCAGCGTATGAAAAAGTAAGTGTCCTCAAATCTTTAATTGCCTGTGCACACGTGCCGCCATGGGCTTGAGAAGTGTGTGTGGCCCATTGGTAGACTTAGACTTAGTTCTGGGTTACTTCAATATGGTGCTATTGTTATCAAAATTAGACCTATTTCATGATTATGTATAAAATGTAAGTGTTCGTGATAGTTGTTTTTTTAATTATAAGACATTTTTCTTCATATTTATGAGGTGCCAGATTTGTAAATTCTTGTGTCACAAACCATCTTTGGGGTAAATGTAAAACAGCAATAAAGGGGTAACTAATTTAGTGTAAAAAGAAGACACGAATGTAAATAGACCTAGGCAAGGTGCCATTCATGTTTTCAGCAAGTAGCTTTGTCATGGGTGGAATTTGGGAGGATATGGTCAAGATAGTCTTTATGTAGCAATGTCTAGCATTCGGATTTATCTTCCAAATACAACTGCTAGTTATATGGGACTTTTAAAATTTTTCACTTAACATCCAAACCGAATATACTTTTGAAGCTGTAGACTCATCACTAGGATACGTGTTGTGAGTTATTTTCCCATCAGTGCTAAACATATTATTTCTAGTGTCTTCTGGGCACTTGTGACTAGCGTTTGTGAAAATTCTGAACAGACTAAAATATGTAGCTGTGGAAATGGATGTTGTTTATCTCCATTGCAGGTCAGTGGAAAGTATATTATTACCCTGTAGGTGAATAATCTGTGGTTCAAACTAGAGATTTTCTTTATGATCCAAATTTTAAATGTATCAAGGCACATTCTGTTAGAAGTCAGGATTTTTATTTTTCATATATGTGAAGTTCACCTGAAGAAATCATGTTGAAAATCACAGAGTATACTTACACTTCATTTTGCTTCTGTTTTTGGAATAGTTCCCACAGCCTTGTGGAAAACTGCTAGAGGAAATTAGGCTTTATGTTGGGTTCCTTCAAGGAAGAGAGGGGCTCTTTGAAACACTTTTCCCAAAGTTACCAGTTCAGTGTTCTCACTCTTAGCCTCTGCTTCTTTGAAACCTTTCCTAGGGAGAGGTAGTAATCTCCTGAGCCTGTAGCATTTTATTGCATAAATAAGTCATATCTTCTGTGAGCCTCCTGTTGTTAACTTATTAATGGCTTACATCACTTCTCTCCCACTGTCGTGATCCATTTGAGGGTAGGGCCTGCATTTCATTCATCCCTTTGCCCTTCATCTCCAATGTGATGCGTGGTAGGCAACAGGTGTTAGAAATTTTGAACAAATGAACACAGGAGAGCAGGTAAATTTCCTAAAATGTTACTTTCATTCTGTCAGTCTCCTGCTTCCAGCTCAGTGTGGGCTATGAAGATCTTTCTAATGGACTGGAAAAAAAATCCATAAAATTAAATGTGTGTATTTTAATGTGCAACAAACATTGTTAAAAGTCTGAGTAGCTGGTCATGGTGGTACTTTGCCTTAGCACTTGGGAGGCTAAGGCAAAGTAGCTCAGTGATAGAAGCATGTGTGAGGCTCTGGGTTCAATTTCCTAATACTGGGGAAAAAAATTGAAGTGAGTTTTACAGTGTTATTAAAATTTAGTATTTATAGTGTAAATGGCATATTTCTAGAGTCTGTTGAATTCTGTATTAGGGTAGATATCTTCTGTAATAAACAACTCCAGATCTCTGGTTTATCACACAGTAAAAGGTTATTGCTCACTGTTGTCACAAAACAGTTTATGGAGATGAGAATGGAAAAAGTGGGTGCTCTGCCCCATGCAGCCCATGCAGCCTCTCAGGAACAGCCTCCAGGGTTAGTGCAGCAGGGTAAGCAAGGAGGACCAACCTGCCCTTGCAGTGCTGTCTGTTACTTCCACCTAGGTCCTATGGGCCAGAGCACAGCATGTCCAACCCCACTGCATCCAGTTAGGAGATAGGGTAGCTATGCACCCAGAAGGAAATGGAATTGGGTTTAGTATGCAGCATGTGTGTGCCTTGAACACATCTCAGCTGTCTCCTGAAAGGCATCTGCAGAACTAGTGCACGTGCACAAGGAAGTATAGTTGGGAGTTGTCATTTTCAGGAAAATGTCAGTTTATTATTGGTATTGAAGTGTTTGTATTTTGAAATTGCTGCTACTCTTGTTTTTTTTCTTCCTTTTTTTTTTTGTGGTACTGGGGTTTGAACTCAGGGCCTCATGCCTGCTAGGCAGGTGCTCTACCACTTGAACCACTCCTGCCAGCACTGTTTTGTGTTGGGTATTTTCAAGATAAGGTCTCATGAACCATTTGCCCAGCCTGACTTTGAACTGTGATCCTCCTGATTTCTGCCTCCGAAGTGCCTAAAATTGCAGTTGTGAACCACCAGCACCTGGCTACTGTTGCGTATTTATTGATAAAGAAAAAAAATCACAGGTAGGTTAGCATCATTAGCATAAGAAATTTTATCTTCATCGCTTATTAACTGACTTATCAACTAATTTGTTGAATGTTTTTTCCCCTAACTTGAAAGCAATGCTTTTTTGTATCAGCAGAATATTATTATTTAAAAAAATTTTTTTTTTTTTTTTTTTGGTGGTACTAGGGATTGAACTCAGGGCCTTATGAGCCATGTTCCCAGGCTTTTTAGTTTTTCAAATAGGGTCTCACACTTTTGCTCAGGCTGCCATGATTGTGATCCTCTTAACCTCTATTTTCCAAGTAGCTGGGTCTCACTATACCCAGCAGAGTATTATTTTCTAAAAACAAATATGCTTAGATGTTTGTTTTATCATTTTTAAAATAATTTATTTACTACAAATAATTTTCTGACAAATTACAAATAATTTGAAAAATGGAAATGGATAGGATATGTGTTAGGTATGTTCACTGAGCCAGTTTTGTTGTTGTTCTTGTTTTTGAGACAAGGTCTTAACTATATAGACTAGGCTGTCCTGGAACTTGATGTGTAGCTTGATGGGATGAACTCAAGGTCCTCCTCCCTCAGCCTCTTGAGTGCTGGAATAACAGATGAGCCTCACTGTGGCTGACCTTTTTCTTTGGACTTTTACAGAAATAGCATGCTGACCCCAGCACTAGCTAAATGGAGAGGTCATTTGGAAGAAGAGCAGAGCTATAAAATAGGAGGAGCCTGGGTCTCTGAACTCATGTGGAAGGGCACTGGACCAGGAACAACCAGGTGGACATTGCCTGAAAGATTCTCTAAATATTAAGTTGC